CATCAGCACTATTCATATTTTTAAAATCTTCCTCATCCATCAACATTCCTCTGTCCTTCAGCAGAACAACACTGCCTATCAGGTGCATGGAGCCAAAAGCACAGGGATGAACTGCTGAGTCTAAAGCCTCCCGCTGGGCTGATGCAGTAGAGCAAAATGGTGTTTTTGTTTCTATTTTACCTAACCAGTGGGGGGAAATTAATTTCCATTAACTCTAGGGAAGATATAAATCTGCTGCTGTGTCAGAGATGTGCCTGGAGTCTAGGAAGGCCGTTGATCCTGGACAAATAGTCTTTCTTAGCATACAGTAAACTAATTGTGGCTGGGAGAGAGCTTGCCTCTCTCTCAGGTATATCCTTTCATGTGATCTGAAATGAAGACATCCAATGTATCCCTTACCAGGGATCATAAGAGTTATCTTACATTAACTAAAAACCTACAGTTAGGAGGCAGGGGCTATTGACAGACAGTACAGACAGGATACATTTTACAATCACATACCTATCACAGTCCATAGAAAAAATATATGTTTACTCCAAATTGTGAAAACTTCGAGATCCCTTCTTAGGGTCACATGCCACTCATAGGATATATACTATTCCAACCCCAATTTGTATCTTCCTTCTCAACCATCCTTCTCACCATTTCTATGTCTTTGTTGGGGAGACATCACATTTTTCACTGTTGTCCATGGTCAAAGGAGGATATCCTATTCCTGAGTAGATGTCCCCCTCCTCCATTTTTAATAACTCCTGCAGCCACACATCTAGGATTATTGCGACGTTAGATAGATGTCTCTTTGCTCTCTTCCCTTCAGTATCCTTTTGTGAACTAAGACTCATGGGAAATAACAGGCCAAAGACATAATTACTAATCTTAGAAAAGAAAGTTTAGAGTTCCAGCCAGAAAGAAAAGGCACAGATGGATTTAAAGTCTAAAGTAGACTGTTTAAATTCCACCAGCTTCCTGAGACTCGTGATGCATCTGTGATGCACAGCTCGTACAGAGCCTGCAAAGAGATTAGTATATCATCCAAACGTCACTCTTTTTTTAAAGGAGGGGAAATGGATTCATCTGTCACACTGCCTTTAAGCTTTCTATATTCGTCTCCTACAGCAATGGCTTGCAACTCTTAGACAAGGGTCATAAACTTACAAGAGATTTACTTGGTCTTTCCTAGCCTGATCCATGCTATGTCGGGCATCTCAAGGCAGCAATGCTTGTGTTGGCTTTCAGAGTTGAGTTCAGGCAGCATGGAGCTTATCTCTCTGTTCTTTCCATTGTGTTAACTCCCAGAACTCAACTGAGTTTCTGCAGAGGCTGTGCCCTTTTACAATATTTAAAAGTCTTGTTATTTTGAGCTGGAAGCTACCGATTCCTGGACTTCCTTAAATAAGATACTATAGGTATCACTTACCTTATGCCTTTCTGTAGCTGTTTAATAACCGCTTTTCTCTCAGCATTTGCCCCCAGCCTCTGATCTTTTCTTATAAAACAGATTCCCAGCTTTGTGGAATCTGAACTTTATCTGTGTAGAATAATCTTGACTTGAGCTGATGCTGGGTCAAGAAAGAGGGCATGTGAGAAGGAAAAGGTCTGTGTTATGAACTAATATGAAGTAATGCATGAAAAGAGGCTTTCTGAAAGCCACAGAAAGGAAGGGAAATCCAGGGACAAGAAGTGGCCTCTGCCGAAAATACAGTGGACCAATATGGCGAGAACTTTATCTTTTATTGCTGGGACTGAACTGGTCCAGGCAAGCAAAGAAGAACTCATAACACCACAACATGCTTTTCTTTTTCACAGATAGGTCAGATAGCAAATAGATGATAAAGGAACTAGAACAGATTGGGTTTCTCACACCATATCCTGCAGAAAGGGAACCAGCGTTTCTCTCCGGAAAAAGTAGAATTGGAAAAATTATATTGCTCCAAATAATATTATCTCCTTTAGCATGTTTGGTTTGAATAATACATTCAAACATATTCAAGGCTGTGGAAATTACATGATTGGAAGATTTGTGAAAATGTAATGAAAATGGCATATATTTCCTTTATGTTCAACAAAAATGATTGAATCATTAAGGGCATTTATCTAAAGAGAGTTGTACTTGATATAACCTATCAACAGTTTAGCTTTCTTTTATTGAAGTACAGAGCATCCAAAACTATCTTTACAATTTCGATTATATATAGAATTGAAACATCTATTTGGTATTTGACCTATTTGGCCCACTGTATAACATTAGTTCATTCAGCTACAATCTCACCTTCTGTACCTCTTATAATCCCATTTAACACTGAGGGAAAAAAAACTGATCCAGTACAGCTAGTTAAACTTTTTTGTTTCATCAAAGAATGGATGGGCATAGACAGTGTAATCACAGTTTTTCCTTGACTTATTGTGACTGAGAAGCAAGAGAAAATATAGTATCAGAGAGTTTCCAAAAAAATGTTCTGTTTTCTACCCCACATCCCGGGGAATACCCTTCACCCTAGGTGTTGTCAATACAGAGCTAGGGATTGTGTAGAATAAAGAAACTTCAATACCTCTAAATAGTATGATTTATTGCCATTACATTACCTGAAGGGAGTATTATTATTATTATTATTATTATTATTATTATTATTATTAGAGTCTTTGCAGTTTGATCTTTTTATGATGCAAGGATTTAAAGAGAGAGCTGCAAAGACTCTGGCACAAGCCAGTAAAGGTGGTCCCAATGGTGATCGACACACAGGGTACAGTGCCTAAAGACCTTGGCCTGCACTTAAACACAATTGGTGCTGACAAAATTACCATCTGTCAACTGCAAAAGGCCACCCTACTGGGATCTGCACATATTATTTGCCAATACATAACACAGTCCTAGACACTTGGGAAGTGTCCGATGTGTGATCCAATACAACAGCCAGCATAGTGACCTTGTTGTTGTTGTTGTTGTTGTTGTTGTTGTTGTTGTTGTTGTTGTTTTATTTTTCACCTGCCTCTCTCAGTGGCTCAAGGCAGGTCACAGCATACAAATACTATAAAAATTCTACAAACACACATTAAAATTAATAAAGGATACAGATTAAAGCATTTCTGTAAAATAGATATTAATCGCACAAGATGGAGACCAAAACACATGACATGAGTTTAAAATTCGTACTTAAAGACTGGCTGAATAGGCTGCCAGAAGAGAGATGTTTTTACATGCTTTTAAAATTCCGACAACTGATCTAATTGTCGGAGCTCTATTGGCAGATTGTTCCATGGTCTTAGGGCAGCCGATGAAAAGGTCCTCTGACTGATGGTTGCCAATCATGTTCTGGCTGATTGGAGCAGACGCTTCCCAGAGGACCTCAATGTGTGGGACGGATTGTATGGGAGAAGGTGATCTTTTAGGCAACCTGGAGCAAAGGTGCTCTCTATACCATGTTTTGTTGCATAAAAGTCGAGTTTTCCGCCATTTGCACTCTAGTCGTCCTTTCCGTTTCATTTACCTGAGTGTCTCAGGGCAAGGCAGGGAGTTGGATGGATGGCCTCTCCCAACTCTATGATTCTGTGAAAATGTGGTCTTCAGAATGCTCCAAGGCCATTTTTGCATCCTGAACATGGGTTCAGTACATTCTGACTGCTGAAAAATAATTATCTAGGCTACTGCCTTTTTCTCTATTCCTAGACCTTTTCAGGAATTGTTGCTTTCTCTTCAAGTTGTAGAGTCTCCCAAAACTCCACTAAGTCCTCAAATTGAAAAACTGACAACTGAAGATTGAAACTAAAATAAGTGTCCTTTTTCTCCCGTCTCTTTATAAAATAGCGTTTCATGGCCTTATGCCACCTTCGGTGGGCCCTCAGTGCATTGGAATCCTCAACTGTGCATCGTGCTATGAAAACAGATGTTGAGGCCTAGTTTCTTTCTGCAGCACCATGGTTTTGTCTGCAGATGAGATTATGATCCCTACATGAAAACAACTTTGCGACTAGTAAGCCTTGCAAGACAAGAATCCTCTTCCATGTTATACTAGCTTTCTGGTTGTAGGAATTGTTTATTGTATACCCATCCCTTTTTCACACCGTTGGAAAATAGAATGCCTTCTTTGAACTATGAAGTGCTGCAGTCCCACCTCATTTTCTACTCCTTGGACCATCCTGATTAATGAAACATATTTAAGACGGACTGTGTTGGCCATTCAGCAAAATTCAACAAAATCCACAAAATAGTGATGCCTTTATTGGATTCTTTCTTAGTTTATCTAATAAAGATATAGCTGTTTTGTGGATTTTATATTTTCTTGCATTTCTTGATTTTCTCAGTTAACAAGAAATATTTGAGGGTTCCTCAGCTTTAAGTAGCTAAGCATGCTCGATTTAGGAGCTGGAATGTTAAAATGCACAACCAGTCTGTGTTTTTCTCACTTCCCTCTTGTCTCATAAATGTTTAAGGATGCCTAGGAATGCACATTACAATGTGTTTTTCCCGCCTCTGTGCCAGAGAGTGCATTTAAGGTGGAGGAACGTAAGATTGACATGTTCTTGGTGCCAAGGGAGTTAGGGGAAAGGTAAGAGCCTGCTGTCTAAATCTCAGGCGAGCCCAACAGTAGAGTGTTTGCAGAAGGGCTTGTGTGTGAGTATACAGATAGAGTTTTGCCAAGAGATAAAACAGGACTATTTTTCCAAAAGTAAAAAAAAGTGTGTAATTGTATTTGTATATTACTGCCAATTTAAATCATTTGCAAACTTTGGCATTCCTTGTTTGATTTCCAATATATATCAAATGCAATTGAATGTATACATGTGTGCACTTATCTAAATGCTGAGGGTAAAATATTTCGCTGTGCTCCTCTTTTCATTGATGGTGTGCAGTTGAGATGGCTGTGATTATTTATATATCTTCATTTTGTATCTTGTTCATGATCCAAGAGGACACATTTGGGATGTTCCTGATTGGCGCTCTTGATATGCTGCCTTTCGCTCTCTAGTTATATTTAATTGAACTCTCTTCTTCTCCCTGGTAGGTCAAATGCAGAAACCTTTTGAAGATGCCTCCTTTGCGCTGAGGACTGGCGAGATGAGCGGACCAGTATTCACAGATTCAGGGATCCATATCATCCTGCGTACAGAGTGAAAGTGCCTTGGTGCGAAGCGCTGGGAAAGGAAAGGGTGGCGGGAAAAAAGGGACAAGAGAACCTTTATCCCATCCCTTTGAGCGCTCTCTGTCCCTGAACAAACTCCATATCTAGCATTTTAATTTTTATTCTGTATTAAAGAAAAACCTTGTTTCATATCTCAATTCCTTCTTTGGCGCCCTGATGTAATGTTTTCCCCACCCACCCCGTTCTATAGAGATGCATGGTTAGGCGAGGCTGAAAACAATAAAAAATGGAGAGACTAGTGTCTTTCTGGGGCACAGAGAGGAGGATGTTTTAAAGAAAAATAAATTCAGAGCTGCATGAGTTTGATGCTGATGAATCCTCCAGTTTAAAGGATGTATCTGTGCTTTCAGGATAATTCGTCAATGCTTTAGCTTCCCATCCAACATATAGTAGAGTTATTTATTGCAGGGTGCCACTGACTGTGGCAAAATTTAGCTCTTAGTGTTTTAGATTGAATCAGCATCTTCTCAACTAGCGTCAGTCCTTATTTAGGTTTAAAAGTACTATGTTCCCTTTTCGCCCCACCCTAAAATTCAGTGGTGTTCAGTTTTCTGATTGGCCAGTTACTGAAAAATTGTTCTTAGTACATATTATAACAAGAACAATTTTCTACAAGATAGCCTTCCTGCGAAGTAGCAACCTCATTTGCATAGTGTCCTACTGATGTTCAGATGGACTCCACTGGGCTTTCTTGTTTTTTTTCCATAGTGGAGGAATTTCCATGAAACTGAAGGGATGAGTGCCCTTTCTACTATATTGTTTTCTTACCCACCAGCCCACCAATAGAAGCAAATATGGAAGACCTGCCTGTTCAGAACTTCAATTTGGGCATTTTATCATTCCCTAGATTCTGGATTCAGACACTTGATTTTTAACTTGCATATGTGTTCTCTGCCAGAATCCCTTCACGTTGACTTAAAACTTGAAGATGCCTTTTTTAGGACCAGGAAAGACATTACTCTTCTCATACAGCTCTCCCTCACTGCTCTTACAATTTAAATCCTTGATAGATTGCATTAGGATAGACTGTATGTTAACCATTCCCATAATCGGTTCTTGCTGATAAAATGCCATCTTATGGGAAGGCTGGTAGTTGTAGGTTTCAATGGGTTTGTTTGGTATTCTTTTAGTATCTTATTCTTTTCCTTAAGTGGCAGGTCACAATCAGTTTGTGTTTTAAGAAAACACTGTAAAGTCAATTTTTCAGTTGTGGTGCACTGCTTTCTGTTTAGTAAAATAAGATTCCTACAAATTTCCTTGCTTTTGGTCTGATTCAAGCAAGCTTTGTGTATATATTTGTATAGAGAGAGCGTTCCCTTTCTCTTATGCAAGAAAAATAAAATTAAAAGAACTCGCCAATTAAATATCACCAGTTTTGCCCTTGAGCTGTGGTTTTTTTTTTGGGCAAGAGTTTTATTTTGCTTTTGCTCTTGTATTTGATTGTATGTATCTTTGTTCTTTTTTCATCATAAAGCAGAACTTAACATGTCCAAAAGAACTTGTCTGAAGTTATTAGAACAGTCCTTCCCAGTTTTGTGAGCTGCCATTCCATACACAGTTTGCCTGGTTGTGAGCTATGTGTGACTTGCTGGGTGCATGACAAATGGCTGATATTGCTGCCCACTGCACCTTCTCCCTTTACTTCCTCTGCTCCTTTTACAGCCTGCCGAGTGATGCCCAAATCAGACTTGCCAAGGCTGTTTGGTAAGTCACAACTTCTGGAGCGCAGCACTAATGGAAAAACATTGAACATGAGACGCTAAGTACTGTCTTGTGGAGTGGGTTTTGTATTGACAGAGATGGCATGTTTATTTCAAGTTTCAAAGGGCCATTTCACTGGAGGATGGAGGTTGGTGTTATTAGAGAAGAGAGATGGAAAGAAAGAGAATACAAATAATCAGGGACGTATCACAATCTCTAGTTTTAATCATAATTTCAACAATGCTGTAAATGGGTTGGTGGTGGGCTCTCATTTTTGCTTCGCACCAGATTACATTATCAGAAGTGCAGACATTAAAATTCAGAAAAATAATGCTAGTCCTTCCCATTCTGAAACTGGTGTTATAGGTTGAACATCCCTTATCAAGAATTTTGAAATCCAAAATATTCTACATTTGTTCACGTGGGTGGCTTAGTGATACCTTTGGTTTCTGGTAGGTCAATATATGCAAACTTTGCTTCATGACAAAATTATTTAGAATATTGTATATAAAATTACCTTCAGTTTATGTGTATAAGATTCATATGAAACAAAGGATTTGTGTATAGACTTGGTCCCTTCTCTAAGAGATCTCATTATGTATATGCAAGCATTCAAAATCCAAACTATGGGGCACATTTGGTCAAGTATTTTGGATATGAGATAGTCAAACTGTGATTCATAAAATTTAACTTTCAAATTGATTTTTAAAAAAATCACCTTGTTGCCATATTTTCCGACTCTATGAAGATTCCAGTGCATTGAATGAAGGGTATTCCACAATACTCAAAACATCCAGAGCCACAACATGTATATTCACACTGTGCCACAATGTGAGTGGATATCTCTTGTAGTTTTTTTTTTTAAAAAATAATTTTTGTAATTGAAACAACTTTTAAAAAATTCCTAGAAATCAGTAGAAAAATAAATCTTTCTGAAACTTTGGAAGATTGATGCCTTACTTATATTGTCTCGTACAGAAATTCAAGGGAATATCTTTTGTATTTTTTAAATAGTTCTAAAAAACAATTTCATTATAAACAGTGGATGACTGAAATGTTCTGAAACTTAGCAGGCATAAAGTCGTAAATGTTGCCTACAGGTGTGTCAAGTTTCATCTTGATAGACACAGAAATCACGGAGAAACGAGCCTCAATTTTTCCCATTGCCATTAGTGAAAGTAAGCTTTGGAGATTCAGATTACGAATAGAAACGAGACCCCTCCGAATCTTTACTAATCGAAGTGGGGGCCATCGGAATCTCCAAAACAAATTACTAATTGGATTTCAGCCATTCTGCACACCTCTAAGAAAGTCTGCCTGTTTGTGTGATGGCCTATTTTTCACATAATTTTAGTCAAGGAAAACAGAGCACACACCGCTATATAAAACAAAACAACTATACAACTACAAAATGACTGCTACTACAAAATGACAAGTAAACAATTATTTAAAATAACAAACCAAGAAAACCCAGCACATTCACAGAAACCAAAAAGCAAATCGAGTTCATACTGCCTATTTGATGTTTGTTATCCTTTATTTGATGTTTGTTATCCCTTCTCCCCTTAAATGGGCAAAATTTGTGTTTCCTGAGAATTAAGACCACCATAGGAAGGAAGGAAGATCTGTTTGATGCATAAAGCATTATAAAGGGGGAAATTCACCTGTATGAATGGAAGATAGGATTTAGAGAGTCTTGAACAGTATTTGGACTGTAAATTGGAAGCAGAGAACAGACCTGTATTGTCTCCTGTCAGTCCTCTTCATCTTCATCATCAATTGTTTCTTGCTTTCACAGTTTCCCTGTTGTTACTGACTGGACTTTTACAGCATGAGTGATTCAGATTCTACCCAACAATCCAGGAATCACTAGTCCAACTGTTGCTGTTACTATTTACGTTGCTAAGTTACCGGATGCATTCTAGAAGTTACTCATTGGTCAATTCTTCTCCTTGTTTTAGAGGACCAACTAAAGCTATAGGAGTAGAAATCCTCAAAATAAAAAAAATAAAACAAATCATGTGTGTGCTTTGCCCTAAGGCGTTGGTTCTCAACCTGTGGGTTCCCAGATGCTTCAACTCCCAGAAATCCTAACATCTGATAAACTGGCTGGGATTTCTGGGAATTGTAGGCCAAAACACCTGAGGATCCACAGGCTAAGAACCACTGCCCTAAGGGAAGACAGTGATTTTGTTAGAGGTGAACTGTGTCAAAATGGCTCTCTGGCATGACACATATGAGAAACTGGCTACCCTTTGAGGTCTTGAATGTATCCAAATTCCAGGATGGTGTCTCTAGTGTCCATTTTTTTGGCCTCTGCTCACTCTATGGTGAGACAAACGACAGAAAACCAAAACACCAACATATGTGGGAAGGTAGGTTGTCTCCATAGCAACATGTTTCTTTTTGTAAAAAAGATATCTAATTTTTCCAGTTATACAATGGCAAAAAATCACCTGGAAGTAGTAGAGGAGTGGGCAGAGAAGAGAAAATAACCTCAAATGACCACAATGTACCAAAAACAAGATGAAAGGAAAATGGGATCGAATCTTCATCGAAAACAGGTAAGATTTTTAGGGAGGTGGATAATTTCTTGGAGTAGACTATGAGCATGATCGTTATTTTGGGGATGGACTCGCCTTTGGCTTGTAACTTCAGGAAAGCTCTGTGGCTAGGGTTATTCAATGCATATTTGTCTGAGGAAAGGAGACCTAGTCTTACAGTACAGCTCCCACTGAATTTTCATCGAAATAGCCAAATATATTTTAATGTATTTTTTATTCAACAAAGAAACAGGTCAACAAGCCTACAAACAACCAAATATACAAAACACTCGAGAAAATGCCCAACCTGCTAAAACAAAACCAACCAAATGCTATATTCTTAATATAAAAAAGCAGCTACAGCTAATACAATGTAGTCTACAATAAGCATCTCCACTGCAACTATGACAGCCCCCATCACTAAACATACCACACACAGCAACAACAGTGCCTACTCCATGAACCTCACACTCTCTGTCCGTTGGTTTTAACTTTATACACCATAAGATATCACTAATCATACTTATAGACTATTAGTATTACTCTTCTACTTCAAAAAAGGAATAATAAAAGTTTGTCCCCATCTTTGGTGTAAAAAAGTAATAAATAAGTACCATTCTTTCTTCAAGTTGCTCATGGTTTTCTTCTTGATCAATTTCGCCAGTCTTCGTAAACCAATCTTGCGTCTGAGTCACTGGGGTTTCCATCTCTGGGCATAGATCATACTTGCTGTTGTAATCATGTCTAATATCAAGTTGGTAATTAATAATAATAATTCTTACCCACCTCTCCTCACGAGTTGAGGTGGGTAACAACATTGCTAAAACACATAATCAAAACCCAATAATTTACGAACACATTGTAGAAAACACACATTAAAACATATTTCCATAAAATACATATTAAAATACACAAAAGTCAGACATGGAGTGGACGTTTAAAATCTCTCATTAAAACTGGGTAGACCTGCTGGAAGAGATAGGTCTTCACTTGGGTCTTAAATTTTAACAGCTGATCTGTTGGAGCTCTACAAGAAGGTCATTCCACAGTTGTGGGGTGGCCGATGAAAAGGTCATCTGGGTGGTGGTTACCAGGCGGGTTCTGGCAGACTGGAGCAGATGCCTCTCAAAGGACCTCAGTGTTTGGGGCAGATTGAACGGGAGAAGACGATCCTTTAGGTCACCTGGACCCAAAGCATGTAGAGCTTTAAAGGTCATTATGAACGCCTTATACTTTGCCCAGAAACTAATTGGCAGCCAGTGGAGTGACTTTAGATAGGTGTAATATGCTAACTCCTAGATGTTCCTCTAACCAGTCTGGCTGCCGTATTTTGAATCAACTGGAGTTTCCAAACTTGGTACAAAGATAGGCCAGTGTAAAGCACAATGTAGTCCAAACTTGAGGTTACCAGTGCATGCACTACCATCTTCGGATCATCCAAATCTAAGAAGGGGCACAGCTTCTTAGCCAAAGCTGATAGTAGCATTCCTGACTGTTGCATCTACCTGGGCTGACATTTGGAAAAATGGACCTAGGTGCACTCCCAAGCTGCGAACAGAGATTTTTGGGGGAGTGAAACCCCATCCATAAGCTTCATATGGAGAGCACCATAATGATATCTTTCAATATCATCTATTCTTATATGTATTCCACATTTGTAACAGTGATCTCTTTGTGAAGTGGTGATTAAAGTTTGAATCAGTTTTTATTTTGTTATACCAAAGGTAAATGTAAAGGTTTCCCCTGACAATAAGTATAGTCATGTCTGACTCTGGGGTGGTGGTGCTCATCTTCATTTCTAATCCGAAGAGCCGGCATTGTCCGTAGACACCTCCAAGGGCATGTGAATGGCATGACAGTATGGAGTGCCATTACCTTCTCACAGAAGCGATACCTATTGATCTCACATTTGCATGTTTTCGAACTGCTAGGTTGGCAGAAACTGGATGTAACAGCAGGAGCTCACCCTGCTCTCCAGATTCCAACTGCCAACCTTTCAGTCAGCAAGTTCAGCAGCATAGCAGTTTAACCTGCTGCGCCAACAGGGGGCTTTATACCAAAAGTAGGCATTAAACCCAGATTTCAGACTGTCTCCTAATTGTAGTAGTCTTTTCTTACTCAAAGT